ACGTAAGCCTTCCAACTTGGGCTTTCTGACACTATAAGGATAAATGCTCTTAGTGTTTGTTCCCATAATTTTTGAGTACCTGCAACTGAATTCTTAGATTCCTTGAAAAACCAAAGAAAATGCGAATGTCATGATATGAATATGAAATGCAGATGCAAGGACGAGGATCACAGGCACAATTCTGAAGCGGGAAGGATACTCTCTGATTACAGAAACCCCATAGGTAGGTTTCTAACAAGTAGGTGACTAGAGTCATGGATTTCTTTAAACACATTATGACCATGGCAAAGAGATACCACAATAATAATATACTTGAAAGGATCTCGTCTAGGTGAGGTTTTTGCTTCGTCCCACGAGAAAGGCTCCTCGTGAACCTCCACTACACAACCATCGAGTCCAAGGTTTCTAACAGGACCTCAGAGTCACAGATCGAGGTTGAAAATATCATTGTCAGAATAACGATACGTTCAAGGGATCTCATCTAATTGGGGCGTTCGTGTCAACCCTTACGAGCTATCACTACCTACCAGCATGGGAAAAAGGGTAAAAGGTCCTTAGAGTTATAGATTCAGGCTCAAAAACATTATTGCCATGGCAAAGGCTCACCACGACAATAACATCCCCAAGGAAATCAACTCTAAGCGGGATCCTCGTATCCTCCCAACGAGAAAGGCTCCTCGAGGGATTCCATTACACGACCACCATTCTAATCCTAAGTTTTTCTCAGACTCGGGTGTAGATCCATCTCACAGAGTGCCCATAATTAAAGAAACCCAATAATCACAAGAATCGAAGATAGGATATATAATAAGGATAAACAAACAAATAAATAATCAAACAAGCAAGAAATAACAACACAAGAAGAAAATAAGCAAGTGAGACTAACGCTTACGAATCGAGTCAAGTTAGGCTTGACTCTCTCTTGCATAGGGTAATGCAATAATCCCCAACAGAGTCGCCAGCTGTTGTACCTCGAAAAAGCACGATCCTTCGCGAATGGTCACGGAAAACAGAGTCGCCACCGAACTTTATTTATTTCAAGTTGGAATAGGAAAATATTGATAAAACCTTTAGGGAAAGAACGTGGTCATCGCAACCAAGTTCTAGGTTCGGGAGTCAATTACGCGAAGGGAAGGTATTAGCACCCCTCACGTCTGTTGTACTCAACGGGAACCTCTTGATTCGATTCGTGAGAAATGTTATCCTAGCTTGTTTGTTTTCTTCCAAGATAAAAGGTGTAAAGGTAAGATAAAAGGTTTAGATTGTTAAAGAGAAATGAGTGGTTTTAGATTAGAGTGCTCGCCAAGGATTGGGGCCCTTGTGCCTACGTATTTTCACTTGAAAAGAAGTGAAGAATCAGAGCATTTGTAGTTCGTGGGACTATGGGAGAAAAAGAAAAGGAGGTTGAAAAAATATGGAATTTTGGGGAAATGTGAAGGAAATGTGAAGGAAATATGGGGAAATGTGCTCGTCAAGCTCATCGCAATCTTGTGCCTACGTATTCTTATTGACAAATGAGAAATCAGAGCATCCGTAGTTCAGACTACGGATATCGGTTTGATTTTATCGAAAGATACTTGGTCGTATTCGACAGAGAATATTGCTTTATCTAAACTAGTGAGGAGAGGACGCTTGCATCACTTTGAATGGATTTCCATATATCGACATTCATGGGAAACACGCCACTTATCTCGACTCAAATAGATTATAGATGAAGCAATATTTTACGTCGTCTCAAGACACCATATCTCACATTTATGAAAAGGTTTGACGGTTTGCATGACGACGATAAATTGAATTAATGTGTTGATGTATATGTTTGGAGAAGAGGATAGATTTGAATAGGTTTTAGGGTTTTTATCGCACGAGGGCGAGGAGACGAGGTTTGACGTATCAGATATTTAGCTAAAGGTGACGATTACCTGAAGCTTAAGAAAGGCTCCTAGGGCCTAAGTAATCGGGAAAGTAAGTCAAAGGCTTGACTCTCTCTCTTTTTCAACCTGAATCCTGAAAGAGTTTGAATATGGTTCGAGTAGGTTAATCAGATGACGATTACTCGAAGCTTAAGAAAGGCTTCTCGGGCCCAAGTAATCGATTAAGTGAGTCAAAGGCTCGACTCTCTCTCGTTTTCATCTAAGTGTTGAAGGATTGGATATGATTCGAGTAAGTTGATCGGATGACAATTACTCGAAGCTTAAGAAAGACTTCTCGGGCCCAAGTAATCGGGAGAGTGAGTCAAAGGCTTGACTCTCTCTCTTTTTCAACCTGAATCATGAAAAAGTTTGAATATGGTTCGAGTAGGTTAATCAGATGACGATTACTCGAAGCTTAAGAAAGGCTTCTCAGGCTCAAGTAATCGAGAAGTGAGTCAAAGGCTCGAATCTCTTTCGTTTTCATCTAAGTGTTCGAGAAAATAGATTTTGAGTTTGCCGTATTGTACATCTTTAAGAGAAGACAATTGTTTGGACTTAAGAAAGGGTTCTCGGGTCCAAACAATTGAGAAGAGAAATCAAAGGCTCGATTTCAACTCCCTTTTCATCTTTATCGAAATTATGATTAAGTATATTAATTTGATTTGAAAAAAATACTCGATGAGAATTGAAGTTTAAGTTTACGTATGAAACGAAATCGATTGAACTAAAGGATAGAAGATCCTAAGGATCTAGGGTAAGGTCGATGGCGAGGCATAGGCACTCGACATACAAGGGTGAAAGTGGCTCGACGTTGAATCGAGAAATTATTTTTATCTTGAATGGGTATGTAAGAACTTCATTAAGTGTGATCAAGGCATAAACAAACATATAACGAAATCATGTGACCACGATAAATAATCAGAAGTTACACAATTTAAACTGAACTATCAAACACTAAGTTATTAAATAATAAATAAATGAAAAGAAAGGAATTTAATGAAATTAATTAAGTAATATTAAATAATTATATTTAACATGATTAATTAAAAAAAAATTATCTAGTTGATTACAAATATATTTGACATAATCAACTAATTATTATTTTTTATATACATATTTCTTCAAATTAATAATATAATTAATTGAACACAAATTTAATGTAATTAACAAAATATATTTTTTCTACAAAAATAATAATATAATTGTAATATAGATTTAAAATAATTAACAAAATGTATTTATATACATATTTTTTCTACAAAATAATAATAATTAATTGAGGCGTAGACAAACAACAATTAATTGGTTATGTTTGTAATATAGATTTCGTTATATGTTTACGCCTTAATCACACTTAATGAAGTTTTTACATACTCATTCAAGATAAAAAAAAAATAATAATAATTGATGGGGCATATCAAGTGAGAAGGATTTTAAAATGAAAGATAAGAGGAACGAACAACAACTATTAGATCATGATTAAACTTATTTATTAATGTTAACTATTAATTTCTTTCTCTTATTAATTTGAATTTCATCTCTCTTGTTAATTTGATCTAATGATTATTTGTTATTCTCATCTCTTATTTAAAATTACTCTAATTTGATATGCTCCCGTATTTTTAAATATATAGTTTCTCATATAATTATCATGCTATCTACTATTCATTTCTTGAGACAATTAATAACGCTATCCAGAACCACTATTCATTTCTTGAGACAATTAATAACGCTGCTCCCCCTGTTCCACTATCCAGAATTAATAACGCTGCTCCCCCCACGTATGAAAACATGTAATGTAACCACTAAGACCAAATATACACATTTTGGATTTTTTTCCTAAACTAAAATTACCGAACTTGAGATCTAGACCGACTCATCTTGATCAGACAGCCACTGATCCCCTGACTGCTTGCTCGAAAACATGTGGTCAATTACAGCAAGGAATTCGGGTTGAAGAAAAATATTGCTCATGACATTCAAAGGTAAGCACTTAACTGTTCATACAAAGTAACTTTCACGAGTAAATGCAAAACAATCCTGATAAATTCATTTCAAATATCTATCTTTCTAAAATCTATTTAGAATTAAGTTTTTCAGGTCTAGCCAAATAAACCCTTCCCCTGATTAAAACTCACCTCTTTTTTTCTATGGACCACCAAAGCTCCACCCATCAAGGCACCAACACTCTTCTGCAGAAGCACACATGAAAATGCAATGATAACTTATTTGATTAAACTACAAGCAACCTTTCACATCTCCCATGGCTTGTTCCAACTGAAAAGCACTTCATTCTTGCTTTCACTTAAAGCATGGTTTTAAAACACTCAAATCATGTTTAAATATAAGCCAACTGGTTTAGGCCAAACATATTGTAATCCAAAATATAACTGCAGAATCTATATATAGCAAGTTACAGCTAATTATGCATTACAAGATAGTTCACAACTATGCTACTCAACCAAATGAATTTTTTACACATATACAACCAATTAAATTACACTATATGTAACTTTGTAATCCATGTTTTGAAAACATCTCCACAAATATTTGTATCTAGTTTGTATTTAATATCTCCACAAATATTTGTATCTAGTTTGTATTTAATCGGATGCATGTGTAAAAAGAAATTCAATGCAAATAAATTATATTCAAAATCAACATATCATAAACAATTTTAAGTAAAAAACCAATGCCAATGTCCAATTCTGAATCCATAATTGGAACCCTAAGGCAATGCATCAACCCTCCCTTTAAAGACAAATCCTCGGTAAACTCCATCGCCTTTACCCGGCACATGAACAATCCACCGCCACTCTTCACCCTCCGCTGCGCCTTGATGCCAGAGCACCGATTTCCCGATCCTAACCCTCAAGGCAATGCGTCAAGCCTCCCTTCAAATCCCCGATTGGCACATTATACAGCCCCTCAATCCCATGGCGTCAATTTTCCAATTCTAACCCTCAAGGTAATTCATCAAGCCTCCCTTGAAAGACAAATCCCTGATCGGCACATTAACAATCCACAGCCACACTTCACCCTCAGCAGCACCACAATCCCAAAGCGCCAATTTCTCGATCCTAACCCTCAAGGCAATGCATCAAGCCTCCCTTCAAACACAAATCCCCGGTAGACTCCATCACCATTTCCCGGCACATTAACGATCCACCGCCACTCTCCACCCTCTGCCACCGCACCACGATCCCAAAGCGCCACTTTCCCAATCCTCTTAGCCGAGAAGCAAACCCTATCCCCCGCACCAAAAACCTTAAACTTCCCAGCATCCTGAAAACACCTAAACATCTCCACCGGCATCCTCCCAGCTTCATCCCACTCCATCGTCCCAACATCAAGCCTCAAAATCAAAATCGTCGAACACGGAGAATTCAACGAAAACGATGACTTCAATCCCCCAATCATCAAGATCCGGTTCCCAACTCCGCGAACAAGCCTAGGCCGTTTCAGTATATCAAAAACATCTCCCCACTCCCGCCGATCTACTCTTGACCACTTCACCGAACTCGTCGAAGTAAATCGGCACGAGAATAGCTTCCATTGACTCCTCCAAGGAGATCCAACGTCATCGCAGCAAAGCGCGTAAGCAGAATCCTCAATCAGAACCGGACTCCGCGGCTTTGATGGAAGATTCGACGAGAATTTCAGCCAGCAACCACCGTTTCCACCGCCTCCACCGTCGTGGCCGGAGAAATATAAAGCGGCGAGTTCAGTTAGAACCATGACTCGGTTGACTGAGTCAACTAACACCGAGCCGTGTCGACACCAAGCGGATCCTAATTGAGGAAGGATTCGGAATTTGCGGGTTAGTGGATTGCAAGCGAGTAATGATTTAGTTTGGGCTTGGGCTTGTGAAATTGGGCTTGTGTTATTGGGCTGGGCCCAAAGGTAAATGAGTCCGTGAGAGGAAGCGACAGGGAGAGGATTAGAGAAAGGGAGAAAATTAAGAGGAAAATGAAGCCATTGATTTAGGTCAGGATCGAAGAGGTGGACGGTGGAGGGGTTTTGGTGGTGGCTGTGGTGGTTGTGGTGGCGGAGGGCAAGGAGGTTGAGTGGTGGAAGAGTGGCGGAGATGTGGTGGAGGAAGGTGGGTGTGGTGAGGAGTTGGTTGAAGAATTTGGAAAGGGAACGGCAGAGGATGATTTGACGGAGGGGTAAAGAGGAGAAGATTTTGAGAAGTGTGTCGTGAGGGAGATTGTAGATTAATGGTTCTTGTTCTTGTTGATGATGTTCTTGTTCCATTTTTTTTGCGTTGTTTGTGCTGTGTTGTGGTGAAGAAGTTTTATGTGGGAGAATAATGGGTAAGGATGTTTTTTAATGTTTTTTTTTTAAGATGGGAATTTTTATTTTATTTTTTTTTATGTATTGACTTGTCGAGTTTTGTTAGGATATTTAGGGTAATTGAGGATATTGTTTTGGGATATTGTTTTGTTGTTTTTACTATTTTGTCCTTTGTTTTGATTTAGGGTGTGTTGTAAAGGAGTGGGAGATGTGTCAGATGAGATACGGAAAGAGAAAAGAGAGATGATAACGTTGAAAAAAGACGGAAAGGTTAAGTGTATCTTTGGATTGAATTTTACTTTGACCAAGTTAAAATGGACACTGTGATTTATGGAAGAGAAGTAAGAAAAGGTACCATGTTTCTGATTTACGGAAGAGGGAAAAAAGGGACAGTGGTTTTGGAGGAAAAATAAAAGAATTACTCTGGTGATTTTTTTGACCTATATACTCTAGTTTGAAACCCTAAATACTATAATATCCCAGTTTGAAATATATTTACGTGGATACCCTACTTTTAGAAGAGTTCGCCCAACAGAAGGACGAACTAGGAAAAAGTATTGAAGACGTTCGTCCAATGAAGTGGCGAACTGGCAGGAAAATTCCAGCATGAGTGAGTTCGCCTATTGAAAGGCGAAGTCGTGTGAAGGTATTTTTTTTTTTTTTTTAATTTTTTCAGATTTTTAAATAAATATATTTAATCTTTTTAATTTAAATAATAAAAAATATATTTAATATTTTTATTTAAAATAATTAAAAATATATTTAATATAAAACATAAAAAATTATTCCATATTAAAACTATTTATTTAAAATATATTGTCTACAAAATATATTTAATCTATGTAATTAAAGTAATAAATAAACTATTTAATAAAAAAATTAAATTAATTCTATATTAAAATTATTTAATTAATTTAATATAAATTATATTCAATTAATATAATTATTTTAATATATAAATTATTTAATTAATTTTTTATAAAAACTATTAAATTAATTTAAGAAAAAAACTATTTAATTAATTTTATATGTAAATTATTTTTACAGACTCTCGGTCACTGAATGACCGAACTCAGACATAAATTTCTTGTATAAATAAGCTTATCTGATTTACTATCATTCGTGTCAAGTTATCCAAATTATAAAGATGTCTGTGGAAGCTCATGTTTTCTATGGACTTGAGAAAAAAATCAGTGTTTTCCTAGATCCGCTGTGGAATTTCAGAACTGTGGTTGCAGCAATTAACACCGGGTTTCGGCAGCTGGGCGGTCGCCGTGTGACGGTGAAAAAAATTGAGTATCGTTGTCCATATATAACGCTTACTGATGCTAGCCCGGAGGGGACGTACATGTACTACCTAGATCGTATAGAAAACGATGAAGATGTCCATTGCATGTTTTCAGCACATAGCGGTGAAGTCAACAGAGGAGTCACGGATCCACTTGTGTTGGTCGCTGTTGTATGTTAGAGTTTATGTGAGCTTCATGAGTTTTATTTTTGCGTTTGTGGAGTAAAGGATCAACTTTATGTTTGTAGTTCGCTGCTTTTGTTGTATTTTGAAAGTTCTTTTGAATTAATAATTATTGATGGATCAAATACGAAAGTAGTACAATATAATTATCTATTCGGTCGGTTTGACGGACCGGCAACATTGGGACATTTACTACGCATATGACCTATTTCTCTGCAAATCCCATACCGTCTCTTCTCTTTTTCTGCGTCATCCATCTCAGTTCTAATTCTACTACTTCTTGGACGCCCCTTTTTATTTCTTCTCATTGAATCGCCGTGGCACAGAGTGAAACTTTCATATTTTGGCCAGTTCTCCTCGTGTGGTAGTCCCAGGAAGCTTTCCTTGTAAACCTTGAATACGTTAAGTACTGTGAAGACCTCTGGAATGTGAATTGCATAGTCTTGTCGTATGCTAGAACATGCCGCTATCACGTGGGAGCAAGGCAAGTGAAATGTTTGAAATTTTCCACAGTCACACTTACGATTCCTCAAGTCAACGCTGAAAGTACCCGTTGGACGACCATCATTGTAATTAATCTTTTCCTGCACCATGAAACAGAATCTTTCCCGATCAAATTGCATGACGTTGTGTGTGTTAGCCTTGGCTACCTCCTCAGCCATTCCCTTGTTACAACCATCTGTGAAAACTTTCCCAGAAGATAGCATCTTGGTCCATTTGTGTCCTCGTTTACCAAATAGTGAACCCATTCGATAATATGTAGACTGGACCAATGTCGTGATGGGAAGGTTTCTCGTGGCCTTTAGTACAGATTTTATTACTTCTGCTAAGTTAGATGTCATATGTCCCCAACGTTGCCCTCTGTCAAATGCTCTAGCCCACTTCTCCCTAGGAATATTGTCTATCCAATTTAAAGCCTCAGTGTTGGATCTTCTGATTTCTCCGCGATAATAATTAAATGAAGCCTCCGTCAATGCGTAACCTGTATCAAGAATTGTGTGAGAAAAAATGATAAAAACGTGCCACAAAATTTTAGATAAGCGGTATTTATTTCGTTACCCATGTTAACAAGTGTTTTGCGTAGAACCTTGTCCTTAATCTCGCGCATGAAGTTCTGAGCAATGTGTCTTATGCAGTAGACATGTGAAGAGGGGGGATGTTGCCAACCGTTTTCAGGATTGTTGTATGCACTTTTTATCGATTCATGTCTATCAGATATTAGACATAAATTTGGTTGTGGTGTCACGTGTAATCGTAGGTTCCTCAGAAAAAAACTCCAAGCTTACTTTGTTTCTCCTTCGACCAATGCGAATGCCACTGGGAAAATATTTGCGTTGCCATCCTGTGCCACCGTCGTCAATAGAGTTCCTCTGTACTTGCCGTACAACCATGTCCCGTCTACTTGCACAATGGGCCTACAGTAGGCGAAACCACGTATACACGGACGAAATTCCCAAAACAGACGATGGAATATTCGTTTTCCGGAGTTTTGGGAACCATCACTTGATGTTGCAGGTAGGGTTTGCAAATCTATAATGGTTCCTGGAAGAAAGGTTTTCATTACCAGTATCCACTGCGGTAGGTCGTTGTACGATGTTTCCCAATTGCCATAAAGCGACTCTACCGCCTTGCACTTAGTGATCCACGCCTTCCGGTAAGATATGATGTACCCGTATTTTTCTAGAATATGGGTGTAACACCCCCTTCTATACCCCAAATAATTGCATATAAAACACTTAAGCACATACAAGTTATCAGAGTAAAAAGGTTTTATAATCAGGTATAAAAGAAGAATGCCACAACTTCACCAATAAAACACTTTCACAATTTGCTCCATAAAATATGTAACATTTTCAATTTAAGCGGAAGATAAAATCATTTAATCAGTTCCAAATATTAATTCACGTACACATAAGCTATCCAATTTAATATATATCATATCAGTTAGATTACAAAACCACATCAGCTGATACACCGCAATGTATCACAAAAGAATGGCTATACTAGTCTAACTACCCGGTGTTACATATCAGAGCAGTAGACTCAAAGGAATGAAGACTATTCTTCACAAAAGGACTCCAGCATCCTAATCTGCAATGCCTCATAGAGCATTATAAAACAGCAGAAGGGTGAGAAATATAACCATAATAATCAAAGCATAAGATTATATATATATAGGTAATCATATAACACATATTCACATTTCTCACCACACTTCATTCTCTTAGTCATATATATTACCACACATGTATATATACAAACATGGATATCCACAAGCCTTCCCACATTATGTATACACTTACAATTTCCACAATCTCATCATCCACACATAAGCATCACTTCATGCATATGTCATATATCAATGTGACTCAACAACTCAATGCAACTCATGCAATGCGGTACCGACTCTCGTTATCTTTTTTTTCGGTTTTTACATTAAACCGGGTCCACACTTCTAGACCGATAACCCGTTATCTTTTTTCGGTTTTTACATTAAACCGGGTCCACACTTCTAGACCGATAACCACAAAGGCCCGTCCTCTAAGCCTTCAAACCCACACTTCTAGGTTTGGGACAAGCCACTAGTTTCCACGAAACTAACAGACATTGCCTCTTGACTAAATGATGCATGTACAATCAACCACAACAAATGCACTTAAGACCGACATCTTAATCTCATGCATTTACATAATTCATCACTTCAAGAATTACACAATGATTGTACATACAACATATATCAAACATTTATCAACGTATTCATTTCACACATCATCATATTCAACAACAATGCACACATATCACATATGTTCCCATGCATTCACACCACAATCGCATACATATATGCACTCGCAATTCATTAGACGATACACATACAGTTCTCATTGTATTCCCATGTATCTCTAATTATCACAACAATCAAGGTATTCTCATTACAATACCAATCATACAATTATAAGTTATGCACACATATTCAAAATGTTCTCATGCATACTCATTACATAATTGCATACAACAATCAAACATCCACAACTCTAGGATTCACGCCCGAAGGCTACCCACAGCACATGTTATCGTAATAGTTCACATACTCATTCATAACATAGAAGTATAAACATATGCGAATCAACCAAACAATCACCATTTGGATAACACAGCAAAGAAAATATACTGCCACATTCGCCTTCATTCGCCTGGCGAACCCTCGCAGCGAACCTTCGCCTGGCCTTCGCCTGGCGAACTCTCTCAGCGAACACTCGCTAGGCTTCGCCTGGCGAGACTTCCCAGCGAGCCCAAGCCAGTAGCTACTGACTTCATTCGCCACCATTCGCCAGCACCTTCGCTGGGCGAACCTTCGCCATCCCACTTCGCCTGGCGAGCCCACCAGCGAAGTCTACTGGGACTTAAATATAATTATTCGCCAACATTCTCTAGGCTTCGCCTGGCGAAGCTTCGCCTTCGCTCGCCTGGCGAGAGCCAGCGAACCTGCGCA